ACCAGCTAAGACCAGGCTGGAAATGGCTGGAAACCAGCCTGGAAACCCCTCTAAAACCAGCCTGGTCAACCAGCCAACCAGCCTAGACTGGTTTAAGCTGGATTTTTTAGCAGGGCAGCAAGCACTATATAGTGTTTTAAAGTATGCACACTGTGGTTAACACTTTGTTAATGAACAGCATACTGTAGTATTAACTATAGTGAACAGATAAACTAATAAATTAATTTTACTACAATAAACTGTGGTGAATATATTCGGCCACTTTATTAGGTACAGGAACAAGACGGCCCTTAACAGAGCACCTCTGAGCCCATACTCGCAGAGCACCCTCAACAGAATGCCAAGAGGGACACTTGTCAAATGCCTTCTCTTAGCCCACAAAACACACGAGGACTGGTTGGGCTCCATGAACCCCCGAGCACCCTGGTGAGGGTATAAAGCTGCTGGTCCAGTGTACCACGGCTTGGATGAAAACCTGGAGCTAGGACATTAAAGTGACGTTGAATTTTAGTTAGGTAATTACACAACACAAAACCATTAGAAAACAAAGGTCTTGTGATGTTAGACTTTGACGTTTAATGGATGCCATATGCTGAAATGATGTTGGCTTTTTAGTTAGTTAATGGAACAGCCTAAAACCAACCAAATATCAATGTTGGCTGACGTCGGTAGTAGGCTAGATGTCAGCTGACGTCAGTATTAGACAACAAATTGATGTTAAATTTTGGTCACCTGACCTCGCAACCAAAATAGAACTAAAGATCAACGTCATACGAGGTTGTGTGCGTGCTGTCAAGCGACAGGTCACTCAAAAACAAAAATTCTCATTCTCAGGCGGTTCCAAACCGAGTGTTTTTCTTCTGTTGAACACAAAGGTAGATACACTGAAGAATGCTGGAAAAAGCAGCCATTGACGTCTACAGTAGGAACAACAACTACTCTGGAAGTTGATCTGCTGTTTTCTCCTGCATTCTTCAGCATGTCTTCCTTTGTGTTCAACAGAAGAAAGAAACTCAATCAGGTCTTAATCAAGTTTAGAATGAGGAAATGAAGACAGAGTTTTCTGTTTTGGGTGAACTTGGGTGAACTTTAATAGTGGGTGGAAAGAGTGATGCATCTCAGCTGAACACATAATTGGTGGAACGGTTGCAACATAAAGCAACACTCTGTTGCAATATGTGCACTACTAAACGGTCTTGTGTTGCACCGATAAATATAGTTTAAATGTAACTGCATTCCAACTAGAGCTGTGGTTAAAAAAAGCTAAAGTTTTTGCTAGTTCTTAACAGCAGACGGCGCTCTAGGCTAGTTTTTAACAGCAGATGGCGCTCTAGGTTAGTTTTTTACAGCAGATGGTGCTCTAGGCTAGTTTTTAACAGCAGATGGCGCTCTAGGCTAGTTTTTAACAGCAGACGGAGCTCTAGGATAGTTTTTAACAGCAGATGGCGCTCTAGGCTAGTTTTTAACAGCAGACGGAGCTCTAGGCTAGTTTTTAACAGCAGATGGTGCTCTAGGCTAGTTTTTAACAGCAGACAGAGCTCTAGGATAGTTTTTAACAGCAGATGGCGCTCTAGGCTAGTTTTTACCAGCAGATGGTGCTCTAGGTTAGTTTTTAAAAGCAGAAAGAGCTCTAGGCTAGTTTTGAACAGCAAACGGCGTTCTAGGCTACTTTTTGTTTTACATTAGATGGCACTCTAGGCCAGTTTTTTATGGCAGACGTAGGCTTGTTTTTAACAGCAGACAGTGCTCTAGGCTAGTTTCTAATAGCAGATAGCGCTCTAGGCTAATTTTAAACAGCAGATTGTGCTCTAGGCTACAGTTTGTAATCAGCAGATGCCGCTCTAGGCTAATTTTTAACAACAGTTGGTGCTCTAGGCTAGTTTATAAGAGCAGATGGTGCTCTAGGCTAGTTTTTAACAGTAGACAGTGCTGTAGGCTAGTTTTGAACAGCAAACAGTGCTCTAATTTAGTTTTTAACAGCTGATGGTGCTCTAGGCTAGTTTTTAACAACAGATAGTGCTCGCTCTAGGCTAGTTTTTAACAGAAGATGTTGCCCGCTTTAGGCTAGTTTATGACAGCAGATGGCGCTCTAGGCTAGTTTTAAAGCAGATGGTGCTCTAGGCTAGTTTTAAAGCAGATGGTGCTCTAGGCTAGTTTTTAACAGCAGATAGTGCTCTAGGCTAGTTTATGACAGCAGATGGCGCTCTAGGCTAGTTTTAAAGCAGATGGTGCTCTAGGCTAGTTTATAACAGCAGATGGTGCTCTAGGCTAGTTTATAACAGCAGATAGTGCTCTAGGCTAGTTTATAACAGCAGATGGCGCTCTAGGCTAGTTTTAAAGCAGATGGTGCTCTAGACTAGTTTATAACAGCAGATGGCGCTCTAGGCTAGTTTTAAAGCAGATGGTGCTCGCTCTAGGCTGGTTTTTAACAGCAAATGGTGCTCTAGGCAAGTTTTTAATAGCAGACGGCCCTCTGCTAGGCTAGTTTATAACAGCAGATGGCGCTCTAGGCTAATTTTAAAGCAGATGGTGCTCTAGACTAGTTTATAACAGCAGATGGCGCTCTAGGCTAGTTTTAAAGCAGATGGTGCTCGCTCTAGGCTTGTTTTTAACAGCAAATGGTGCTCTAGGCAAGTTTTTAATAGCAGACGGCCCTCTGCTAGGCTAGTTTTAACAGCAGATGGCGCTCTAAGCAAGTTTTTAACAGCAGATGGCGCACTGGGCTAGTTTTTAAAAGCAGGCGGCGCTCTAGGCTAGTTTTTAACAGCAGATTGTGCTCGCTCTAGGCTAGTTTTTAACAGCAGATGGCGCTCTAGGCTAGTTTATAACAGCAGATGCACTCTTGATTTATCACGATTTATCTTGAGCTCAAGTTTTCTCAAAGGATGTTCACCACCTCAAATACTTTTCAAGCAAATTGAAATCATTTATATTTGCGTAGACGATTCAATTGAGGTGAATCTCGCGATTTCACAGCAAATGCTTTACTTATGTTAACGCATTTGCATAGACTTTGTGTGTAATTTACTGAATACTGTTGGTTTAATCAATCTGGCAACCTGTCTGTGCATTAATCTAAGGTGCAGATGCCAAATAAATAAATAAACAACATTCAATATTTTGAATTTGAACCGCAATACTCAATTGAACCACTAGGATTAATCCTACACACTCCACATTTAATACCATGCATAAACAGGGCCTAAAAGGAACTACATTTTTTAAAACAGATTGATTTCTTTCACAGTTGCACAAACCTGAAGACATAATCGTGACCGTCTATGGCTTTTCCCTGTCCGGATCCATTCAGTATTCCACCATTTCCCACCACAGCACAGCGAACGCATGCATCTGCTGATTTCCGCTCAAACACACGACCATTGTCCGGATGTGTAAGCAGATCAAGAGTATTGCCGATTACTGTGGTAAAGGAGCAAACAATGAGACATTGATTTGTCGTTTTATTGTTCAGGATAATTTCCTTGTTTGATGCGTTACTAAGCATTTACTTGCAAAAGACTGGTTCTTCCAGCCGTAAGGCAAGTATTCACTCTGGAGCTGCTTCCATTGCGAAAGACCAAACGAATCTCGCCACTGCATGATGGGAACCAAGAAGCTAAACTGTTTCCTTAGACTCTCCGTCTTGTTTATGATGTGTCTCAATGAGCAGGCTGGCACTGGCTAAAAACAAAAGAGGAAGACATATTGTTTGAGTTTACTTTAGCTGTTTTAGGCCATGTTTAGAGCAATATTTCCCTCTTTAAAAGATAAATAGCCTCATTTTATTGTTCCTCTAGAGTTTAACAGTTTAGTTTTACCATTTTTGAATCCATTCAGCTAATCTCAGTCTACTTTTAGCTTAGCTTAGCATAGATTATTGAATCGGATTAGACCATTAGCACCTCGCTCAAAAATTTAAGAGAATTTTGATCATTTTCCTATTTAAAGCTTCTCTTTTGTAGTTATATCGTGTACTAAGGCTGACGAGAAATTAAAAGTTGCTATATTCTAGGCTGATATGGAGAGCAACTGTACTTTTGTTGATTGTTACGCCAGAATAAGAGCATAGTTAATAGCCATATCAGCCAATTAAATAGCAACTCTTCATTTTCTGTCAGTCTAAGCATACAATATAACTACAGATAAGTAATTTTTTTTTGTAACAGAGTACATACAGGAATCAGAGAGTGAAATTTAATACATTTCAAGACATTTTTTAAGACTTAATTCATACGTTTTAAAACATTTGGGTTTCAACCGTTAACATTGGCCACTTTTTAACTTACAGTATATTTACTAAATACTAATTATAAGAAACTAATCCTAAACTAAAACATTATAGTAGTATAGTAAACAAAGCAACGTGTTGTAAAATCTAGCAGGATTTTACCGATTTCATAAACTACCTAGCATTCCACTATTCATAGATCATAGATATATACATTAGATGTCACCTGGCCTATTGTTGTCTATTTGAAGATAATGCGTCAATAGCGCCGCCATCTTAGTACAGGGTAGCACTCCTTTGAAATGAATGCGGGACCAAGGTACAGTGGAGGACTGTGGCAATCCAAAGCCAGAGATATACACATATACACATATATCTATGATCGGGAGTTTTCCTGGATTTTAGTATGTAATTTTTTTTTTTCTAATTACGAAAATTATAATTTTACATCACTTTTCTACATTGATGGATCAGTGACCGCACGGGCATTCCTAACAAAAAGCTTGTGTTTGTGTGTACAGAAATGTACTATTCACCCTCCCTGTTAAATTTAGTCTAATCATGTCCTGAAACACAGCTCCTCTCCTGCTTTCACCTCTCATACTGACGGAGGGAGCGACTCGTTTGTGAATGAATCCCCCGAACGACTCTTTCACTAACGTTAGCCGACAATAATACAAGTTTCCGGCAGCGCAGCATCTCGTTGTCATATTTCTTTTGCATTGTTTGCTGATTTTATTCAACAAAACTAGCATAAGCCGAGTGTTTAGTGTGAGTTGGAGCTTCTTTGCCTTATGGTGAATGCAGTAAGTGACTGTTATCATCAATAACGTTACCTGATTAGCACAAAAGTTCAGAACATACAAAAACAGAAAAAAACTTAATCTTACCTATGAAATGTTCTGCCTTTGTGCTTTGTTTTCTTTGTTTGCTCGTTACTACACCTGTAGACAGCGCTAAAGTCCCGCATCTTCACGTAATAACACTGTCTTGACTAGTGCGCTTGAATCACATTTGTCCTGGGAGCACTGTACCAATGTGGCGGCGCTATTGACGCATGCTCAGGGTCCCTATGCGATATCCAGTGTATATATCTATGTTTATAGATTAAGTGCTAGCATACAACTATACATTGTATAATCAAAAATCTTACAATATTTAATATCAACTTTTAATACTTTTTAAGCCCCGCCGACACCCTGTGTAAATGATCAAAACTCTCTTTAAAATTTTGAGATAGATGCTAATGGTCCAATCTGATTCAAAGACTTATGCTAAGCTAAGCTAAATTTGGCCAAACCCGCAAATTAATAATAATAATAATAATTTCTTACAGTTATATAGCGCTTTTCTGGGCACTCAAAGCGCTTTACACAATCGTGGGGAATCTCCTCATCCACCACCAGTGTGGAGCATCCACCAGGATGACGCGACGGCAGCTATTTTGCGCCAGACCGCACACCACACACCAGCAGATTGGTGGAGATGAGACAGAGTGATGTAGCCAATTATGATATGGAGATGATTTGGAGGCCATGATGGACAGAGGCCAGTGGGCAGATTTGGCCAGGATGCCAGGGTTAAACCCCTACTCTTTTTCGAAGGACATCCTGGGAGTTTTTAACGATTATGGAGAGTCGGGACCTCAGTTTAACGTCTCATCCGAAAAATGGTGCTCACTGAGTATATAGAGTCCCCGTCACTATACTGGGGCATTAGGACCCACACAGAACGCAGGTTTGGTGCCCCCTGCTGGCCTCACTAACACCACTTCCGGCAGCAACCTAGCTTTCCCATGTGGTCTCCCATCCAGGTACTGACCTTCGCTTCAGTGGGCGACCATGTGAGAGTTGCAGAGAGCTAGCTGCCGGCAAATTGGCTGAATAGATTAAAATATAGTAAAACTCACCTGTTTAATGCTAGGGAAGCTGTAGAAGTGAGCTTATTTACAAAGCTAAAGTGGAGTGTTCATTTAAGCACATAGATGTTTCGGTTTACCGTCTCTTCTGCTGAATCCATTACAATCCAGGTTTCTTTATTCTCCTTTTTAATCCTGCAAAAAACAGAACATAAAGAACGTCTGTTTCATTGAAAATATTTGCGTTTACATTGAAAAACATTAGAAAAGTAGAGCGTTGGAGAGAAAAAAAAGGCGTTGAGTGAACAGTTGCAGTGTAATAAGAGTGTGCTGGTAAGAAATGAACATCCCAGTGAAACTTGTGATAAATACTTCATAATTCAAGTCCAAAAAATGCTGGATTCGGCACACAGGAATAGGTTTAAAATAGCGCAGCGCATATTATGACATGTTATTATGAGCGTGATGCAATAACAGACCTATTAGAAATGGGAAAACAATATGTTATGATACATGAAGACACATCATATAACTCAGGATAGTCTGGATAAAGCCACAATGGGCACCTCCTCCGCTATTAAATATCAAAAAGTAAAACAGTTGTCATGGAAACTTTCTGCTATAAACAGAAGCTTGCAATGGTTGTCCCACTTCCGAGCTCTTCAGATCAGTCCACTGCTGTGGAACTAACAGTGATGAGCAGCGCTGCTTGAGAAAGTTGAAGACACGGTGTCTAAAAAGCACGAGATGCGAGGGTAACGGTCAAACGTGTCCATAAAGCATGTATTTACATTGTAAAACATTCAATGAAATTTTAATATGATTATAATATACAGTTTAAGAAACGAACGAACATTTCAGTGAAACTTGTGATAAATACTTTTTAATTCAAGTCCTAAAAATGCTGGACTCTGCATTCAGGAATGGGTTTAAAAAAAGCGCAGCTCATGTTATGACGTGGTATTATGAGCGTGATGTAATAACAGACCCATTAGAAATGGGAAAACAATATGTTTTGATTAGTACATGAAAACACATCATATAACTACACTGCTGTTATCTAACGATAAGTAAAACAGTTGTCATGGAAACTTTCCACTATAAACAGAAGCTAGCGATGGTTGTCCCACTTCCAAGCTCTTCTGATTGGTCCACTGCTGTGGAACTAACAGTGATGAGCAGCGCTGCTTGAGAAAGTTAAAGATCTTTTGCCTTGACACAGTATCTAAAAATGCGAGACGTGACCGTAGCGGTCAAACACGTCCATCAAGCGCGTGTTTAAATTGAAAAACAATAGAAAAGTAGAACGTTGGAGAGGAAAAACGCATTGTGTAAACCACCCCTTATGATCGTGAATGCAATTTAATAAGAGCGTGCTAGTACACGAATGATTATTTCAGTGAAAGATATCTGGACAAAGTTACAATGGTCGCCACCTCCGCTGTTATATAACGATAAATAAAACCAACCCAAGCTCATTCTGAAAACGTAGCCCCGCGGACGTTTCCGGAGACCGCGTTTTACGTGGCCGGAGGTACGTATAGCTGCATTTGTTTTTTTCGAGCGAACGCTACGGGGAGCCGGCTGTGACGGCTCACCTCCATGTGGAGGGCTTTCCTGCCGCAACCAGTTTGTTCGCTTAGCTTGCAGTGTTACGTAGAGGTCGGAGGAGGAGGAGCCGGCCGCGGCGACAACCAGGTTCGAGTCCGGCGAAGAGCGGTTCCAGAAATAAGGTAAAATGAATAACAAAATCCAAAAAATAAAAGCGAACGAGTATGTAACGGGGCGAGAATGCGGCGAAATCCGAAAACGCGGTCAAAGTCAGAGGAGGGCTTTTGCTTTTCTTTATTGGACGGCTTTTGTGAATCGTCGCTTTGGTTTAGGGAAGGGGGAGGAGGAGAGTGGCTAGGTCGGCTTTTGAGCGACCGTCTATCCGACTGACGGAATGAATGACTGAACGATCGACCGGGCGGCTGGCCAATCGTTCAGTAATTCATTCTGTCTGTCAGATAGATGGTCGTTCAACAGCAGCCTCTGGCACAGCTAGGGCACGAACGGCGCGCGCTCCCGAGAGGCGTCCAAGACGCGAAAAAGCGCAGCACATCGGCCTCTCGCGGATTCACGAAAACAAAAACTGCACAAATACGTACCTCCCGGTACGTATTTCGCGGCCTCCAGAAACGTCCGCGGGGCTACGTTTCCACAATGAGCCTGAGTTGAATAAAACAGTTGTCATGGTAACATTCTACTATAAACAGAAGCTCACAATAGTTGTCCCACCTCCGAGCTCTTCTGATTGGTCCACTGCCCAGGAACAAACAGTGATAAGAAGCGCTGCTTGTGAAAGTTAAAGATCTTTTATTTTGACACGGCGTCTAATAAGCACGAGACGCGAGTGTAACTGTGAAACACGTCCACCTAGCGCGTGTACTAAACAATAAAGAAAAGTAGCCCATCGGAGAGAAACGACCCCTTATGATTATAATATGCAGTGTAATAAGAGACTGCTGGTAA